GACCCCGACAATACTTATAAAATGTCATTTAAGTACAACTAGTGACCTGGGTCACGGAGTACTGACACCAGCATTTAGACTTGCTGCCAAAGAATGGGTGTGGGACTGTGTTGTTGCTTGTTTTGGTGTGAACTGGAAACAAAGTTTCACTTATTCACATTTTCCACACGCAATGAGAATAGATCGTCTGGTTTTTTTTTTTTGCTAGTCTCCATATCGAAAACGAAGAGGTTACTAAAGTTACGAAAATTCTTGTATGACAGAATAAAAATTAGGAAGTGATGTAATATATTGCATTGTATTTGTATTGTATTACATTAAAATTGTAAGATATTGTATCATACAAGAAAAATTTAGATTGCTTCCCAAATTCCCACAAGGAAAATTACGGTAAGTATCTGTCAATATTCCATTTTCCTGACAACTCCATTGCAGCACCTCTAGGAACTGACTAGCCACACAGGATAGGGATGATGCTACATACTCCTCACTTCTGGCTAAAAGAAGAAGCCAGGATGCCTCTGCCAAGTTCAGCTATCATTAAGACTGCTTCTATACAGTAATGAACCATGAATGTATACATACTGATTCCCACGTAGATGCCTTGTAGATAGTGTCTGGGAACACTCAACCTGCTGCCGCTCAGAAGGTCAAACCTTTCGAGTGGACAGTGATGCGATCCCCCTGGCACAGCCAATCCTTTCAATTTATAGTCCAAGGACATGAGCTTCACCAACTAAGAGGCAATAATCCTGTTTGAAGCCGTGAAAGCATTACACGCTGCACCTGGAATGACAAACAAGTACTCCAACTTCCTGATGCCAGATGTTGCCTTGATGTAATATTTTAAAACTTGGCCCACATCTGATGGGCTAACTTCTTGGGTATTCCCCAAGAGGGACATAAGAAGGACAACTTTTTGTGTGATATGGACTCTGAAGGCCACTTGAGCATCAGCCTAAGTAGCACCCAGGCCGGGATTAATGTAATTAAGGGTTCTTTAAAACCCCATGGTCGCCAATACGTATACTCTTCTGGTTGATGTAATTGGCACCATGAAAGCAGTTTTTAGTGAGAGGTACCACAGGGGGCCACTTTAATTGAAGGCATGTGATGCAAACATGTCCAACACCAATGGGAGATCCCACTTCACAAACAACAATCCCTTAGGTAGGTTTCAACCAAGTGGCAGCTTGAAGTACAGTATAGCTGAGTGTTGGATGCCCACTGCATGCCAGTGAAGGTAGAGATAGCTGAAATGTGGGCCCATAGCGTACTTATGCATAAACCTAAATCAAGCCCCACCTGCAGAAATTTCAGAATGTGACAGACTTGTGAAAATCCTTTGATCAGCAGCAATCCTGTGAATTTATGTCATATTCTACTATAGGCACTGTTAGTGTGGTTCTTTGCTTTGATAAAAGTATCCACAACCATTACAAAGCACCTGAGAGCTATTAACCTCTGCCTTTCAAGACCCAAACCATGAGCTTGAGGCTGTCAGGTGTTGGACAAATGGGACTTTGGGGAAGATCAGATCTTACAGGCAGAGGGAATGGATGCTTGACCCCTTCAACCACACTGGGATCACCACAAGAACTATCACCTTCCCCTGCCACAGCCTTAGCAGGAAGCTGAGAATCATGGGAAGAGACTGAAAGGCATAAGCTGTCCTGGAGATCCACTCTGTGATCAGCACCTCCACCCCAATTGCTTGTGGATGCTGGACCTGGGAATAGAACTTTGACAACTTGGTGTTGATTGGGGATGTGAACAGGTCTACATCTGGAAGAAATTACCAAGCCCATTAGTTCTCAAAACACTTCAACTGGGCACATAGGCTGCAGATAGAGGCAGGATATTGACTTGGGCCTACTCTAGAATCTGAGAAACCTTATTCAGGAGTGAGACACTGAGTGCCCCCTTGTTTCCAGATGTAGGCCACAGTCTTTGTGCTGTCTAACTTCACCAGGACAGGTCCACCCTGGATGAGGTGACTGAAGGCCAAGAGCCTAAAATTCCATTACTAACTCCAGGATGTTGGACACCATCTTGGTCCCTTGAAAAAGGCCATTGGTCCTCAGCCCATTGCTACTGAATTAAGACTCTCCAGCTACTTTGCTGGTGTCTGACTCCACCACCAGCCACTAGGTCGTCACTTGGGAAGGACATCGCAGAAGGTTCTACTTCTCCAACCACAAGTTTAGGCTTGCTTTCACACAGGTGTAGCAATTGTACGTACAGAGATGGACACGGTCATCCATCTTGCTAAAGATCCCCCATCTTGTATCATCCTCTCTCCCTCCATCCCCCTCCCTCAGGAATGTGGTCTGTATGTATGCTGAGATCATAGGCATCAGGCCCAGTGGGGTAGCATCATGGTTATAAACCCCAATTAGCCTGGGCCCAGTATGTCTGTGAAACTCTTGCTCTGAAGCTAATCGTAAAGCCATAAACCAGTCCTTCACTGGACTTCAAACGCATTCCGAGATAGTCGTAAAACAGACATCACATTTTAAAAATCACTTTTCCATATAATTTCCTATCTTAAGCTAGGAAATAATTACAATGAAGCAATGCATATATTCGGATAGCTCAGTTTAATGCAAGTCACCTAATATCTTACACCCCTAGTTGACGTCTACAGGAGAGCAGAGAGCCATATAGTTCTAGCTGAAATAGTGAAATATGGCATGTTTAATGTCGGAACGTTCAGGATATCATTCTGCATATTAATCTACTAGTGGCTAGGTTGCTACATGTACCTAGGGAAGGTTATTGACCGTGGTATAACTTGTGAGGGATTTGGTCATAGCCTGAGTTCCCCGTCTAAAACACTCCTCCCCAAATGAGGCGATTGGTTCTCTGCTTTATGGAGACACCCTGCTGGGTTCCTAGAAAAAGGCTTTGATTCTTGGAGCAGTAAGTTGAAGAATTCTCCCCTTTTAACATCAGGAACCAACTTGGGAGACGGTACCCTTTTGTTCAGGAAACTTGATCTGCTTAAACCAAGGCTGACGGCAAGTATTCTACCTCTCTAAACTTCTTTCTGTTATCTCTCTGTTGTGGTATTGCTCTCTGTGTTTATATATATATATATATATATGGCTACATCTTTTTCTGTAAATATTTTTATTGCACCATTTTGACCCTTTTCGTAATAAATCCTATTATTTGAATTGTGTTGAACTGTTTCTAAAGCTCTTTAATGCAAACTAAGAATCCCTGTCTCTGAAGAGCGCTACTGTGTGTTTTTAAACCTCTATATACCTCTGCCTGCGGTGACAGTGGTATACAGATGATTATTCAAACATCATAGTGTTATTGCTAATATTGACGAGTTTCCTCCTTTTCTCTACAAAAAGGCGGTGTTGGCAGTGTGAAGGGTTAATTGCGTAATTAACCTGACCCAGTAACAATCTCTATCAGGCTGCAGGTACATAGATTGTGGTCCATTAGCTGGACAATCTTTGTGCAGGGTGCAGCGGAGTGTGGCATTGTTACACGTGACAGCGCGGTTTTAGTCCTTTGGTCACAAGTTGGTGAGAAGGGCTGGGGGTCTGACGCCGCAACCATCACAACAGGGTGTAATCCATATCTTCTGACCTAGGCCAGAAACCTGAATTGAAAGGGGGTGAGAGCTCAACTGAGCCTACCTGACCTGCTGGAGCGAGGCTATTTATGTGGCCCAAACTGAGACGTTATGGATGAAAGATCTCCCAAATATAACCTGAAATGCTTGCCTTGAAGGACCATGTGTTGTCACCAAAACAGTACCTATATCCAAAGAGGAGCCACCAAGTGTCCATAAGACATGTATGGATGGCACAATCCCCAAAATACCAGAAAGCATCCTAACATGAAGATCTCCACAGACTTCTTGGATTATGTGCTGGCTTTCTCTTTGACTCCCAGCCAGAAATGCAGAAGCTACCCTCTCTGGAATGAGCGTGGAAACAGACTCTTGAACTTCAGTCTCCTTTAACTCAACAGACCTTCATCTTGAGACAGGAAGCCAAACTGACCACTATTAATTTGGGCTTTACCTTCTAAGATCAAGAACAATGCAGTGATTGAGTATGTCCTTGAAGGCCACAGCATCTTCTTATGGTAAGGTCATGTATCTGGCCAATCCCATAAGGGACACACCGACCAAAGGGGTGAGTGAAAACCCTTGACATCCTGCTGTGACAACATACTTCAATCTTGTAGAATGAGTGCTTGATTCATTCACCATAAGTGAATTGTCAAGCCATTCTCTGGAGGCACTTAAAATACTTCCACAGCTTTGATTCTATTTAAAGGTATTCCATTAAATTTACAAAATGAATAAAAAACCTAGACAAAGGTTGTACTAATCTTCTTGTTTAGAAGACACTATAGAGGATTGATTGGCTTGAGAAGGCTCTGTTATAATGGCACACTACGCTTCAAGTCTGGACACTTTCACTTTCCAGTCCATGCCAATTTTCAGTTTTCAATGCTATCACACTTTGAATGACAATTGCGTGGTCATGCAACACTGTACCCATATGAGTTTTTTAGCATTTTTTTGAGACAGATAAAACTTTATTTTGGTGGTATTTATTCACCACTGGGATTTTTATTTTTTTTTGCTATATAAATGAAAAAGTCCAAAACTTTTGAAAAAAAAATATTTTTCTTATAAAATTTAGCAAATAAATAATCTTTCTTTTTAAATCTTGGCCACAATTTATTCATCTGTCTTTTTTAATAAAAATAATAATAACCAAAAATTATAATTTTTCAAAATGTTTTTTACATTTTGATTTTTTCTTATATTATTATTTATTTATGTATGTATTTATTTTTTAAAAGTACTGTCACCCTAGCAGTACAATGTCACCATAGTGACACTATTCTGCTTGTGGGGGGTGATGAAGATTTGTTTTTACACTGATTGCTTTTACACCTATAAAGGCTGTAAAAGCAATCATTTCTTCTTCTCTCTGGCTACATTCTTGCAGCCATTGAGAAATACTGTGCTTGTCACATGGTACAAGGCTGTTGTGAATAGCCTTGTACCATGTGACCTCTGTGATCAATCACAGATTTCACACGTAGTAAGCAATGATGTCAGGAAGTGACATCTTGTTTACTACTATTGATGTGGTCACTGATTGGCCAATCAGTGATCACATGAATCGGGACCTCACACAGAGGTCCCGTAGAGCGACCTGTGTGTGAGGGAGTGCGCACAGGCAATGGATGCAGGGGGACGTTTAGAAACATCCACCCGCTTTGGTAGCGCTCCTGTCTGACCATTTATCTACATGGGCCGGACGGAAAGTGGTTAATGAATGTGACAACATGTTGGGTGTCATCATCCTCATTTCTGGTTGTTTGACCAAAGCAAGATTCATACCATCATGTCCATCCATCTCTTCCTCTTTGGAGAGTCTGAAGAGGTTTCTTTGCCTGGGAAGGCTATGAGACTGCTCATTGTTAGAACACATAACCCCTTGACAGGGTGAATGGAACACTTACACTCATGTTCATTTCACAGTCATATTCATTTGCGTCTTCTTTTTTGAAAGGTCTGAAGAGGGTTGTTTGCTATGGAAAGCTCTGAGACTGCTCATTGCCAGAGTAGATAATCCTTTCACAGGGTTTTGCCTGCTGCTTAAAGCAGCTAAAAAAACAATAATAATTTAATGAAGCAGAAAATAGCTTGCTTAGTAACAAACCCTAAAGGGTTAACCACTGCACGAGGGATGCCGATATTGCAGCTTCCAACCACAGCCCTGAAGTCACCAGGTGGTTAAGGAAACAAACCTTACTCTGCCAGAGAAGAGGACATGATAAAAATGTTTCCTTAACCTCCCTGGCGGTATTCCCGAGTGTAGCTCGGGGTAGAGTTTTAGTACCAAAAGCGGTAACCCCGAGCTACACTCGGGCTTACCTTGCGGCGCTGCATAGGGAGTCCCTGCAGCACTTACCTTGTCCTTCGCTCCCACGATGTGTCCCCTGAAGCGTCCCCGGCCATCTCCTCCGGCTGATGCCGGCATCCGGCTTCTGTGTTCCGGTCCCCGTGACGTCGGGACGTACGGGCGGCGGCGGGAAATTTGAAAATTTTAAAAAATTTCATTTTTTTCAAAACACATTTTTCACAGTAAAACATTGCTGTTTCAACCCATTTCACATACATTTTGTCCCTAGTGCTTTGTCCTGTGCCCTGCCTACATTTTGTCTGTCTTTCTGCCTGGAAACTTAGAAAAATCCATGGCGTCCAAAAAATGTCCCTTTAGGTCAAAAGCGGTTTTAGACCGGCTAGAGAACAGCGATAGTAAATCAGAACCACTTGCAGAATTGAGTGATAATGATTCGTGGGGAAATTCGTCATCAGACACTGAAAACGATTTTGCGACTTTGCTCAGCAATGTACGAACTTGGCTCTCTATTTCAAATTTCAGTGTTTTCGGTTTGATTATATTATTGAATTAAATGTATTATTATTATATTATTATTTTTTTTGATTATTTTTATTAAATTATAATTTATGATTTCGTGTTTCAAATTTTATCATACCCGGGATGTTTAATAGACTCTTGTTCGGACAGATTTCAGTGAGTTATTCCTAAAAATTACAGCCTACAATAAAAAAACTACATATTTCCATGCAAAATAACGGTACCGCTTTCAGCACCAAAAATCTGAAATAATCATACCGCCAGGGAGGTTAAGAAGAGCAACAAAAAGGTAGGAATCTGCAATAGAATTACAATATTATTTTGCAATGTACACAAACCAAGGGAATTGTTGACTTTTTTTTATTTTTTTGAGAAACTGGAGACCACAAACAAAATATAAAAGGATGTCCTATATGCCAGCAGGCAATATTGGCTACAGTAGTTATCCACAAGTGACTCCTCTACCTTCTTCGGGAATGCTGGTCTTTGGAGGGGGTTGGCATAATAGCACAATAGTAAAGCAAACACGAGAAGCCACCAACAGGTAATGCCGTGTGTGAACAGACAAAGCATGACTTTGTGTACCTGTTATGCAGTGTACAATCTGTAGAGGAGCTCAGGGTATGCACAGCAGCTGCAGGGAGCAAGGCACAACAATAGCCAGCAATGCAGCATTCATTTGGGTACAAAGCATTTTTAAATTTAGCGTACCCAACTTCCATCATCTGACTACAAACACTGGCACTGCACAGGTCCCCGTGCCTAGGAGAGACCAGGGGTGGACTGACCATTTAGAAACTCGGGCACTGCCCAAGGGCCCAGGGTCAGTAGGGGGCCCCATAAGATGCCCCTGGTACCTTTTTCATAGTTTTTTATTAGTTTGGGCAAGGACACAGGGGCCCCATGATCCCCTATTGCCCGGGGGCCCCATGAGTTGTCAGTCCGCCCCTGGGAGAGACTCTGCTGACACCGCTGTTAGCCATGATAAAAGCCACCCCGAAGACCAGTAGCGTGGCTCCCTGTATTTTGGGTCATTTAGCCGGTACACCAGGGACCGCGTTCAGCTGAAACCCACACATATGGATGGACAGCCAGCCCTTTAGACCAGCCAGGTAGAGAAGCACACCTAGGTCCTGCACATGGGAGGAAAACAGAGGAACGCTGGGGCTGCAAGTGGGTTCACATCTATGATCTATGTTCTGGAAGCATTAGGGGGAGGGGGCTGGGGGGCCATTACCCAGCTGTGCTGACATGGAACTGTCAGGAAATAAGTCTGTGCTTAGAGTAAAAAAAATGGTGTCTTATGATAATCAGTTGAAATGCTTTTTTTCTGTGTATATGCTGATCACATTTCTTATATGTACAATGGACAGGCATTCTTTTTCAATCTGCTCTGTTGGTTAATGTGTGTGTGACGCGAAGTCAACTGAATGAGCATTTTGCAACAGAGTTGCTCCAAATCCTGCTATACATGAATCAAAATTTGGCCAGTTCAGCAGGGACTGGTCAACTTTCAACCCATGTATGGGCAGGGTGGTTATACAGATGTTGATCAGGGGCGGACTGACCATTTGAGCACTTGGGCACTGCCCGAGGGCCCGGGGTCAGTAGGGGGCCCCATGAGATGCCCCTGGTACCTTTCATTGGCTTTTTTATAGGCTTTTGTGGATGTGAGCGAGGACACAGGGGTCCCGTAATCCCTTATTGCCCAGGGGCCCCGTGACTTGTCAGTTCACCCCTGATGTTGCTCTATCATTTGATTTCTGTACAACCACCCTGTTGGATTTTTGCTACTTAATTAGCCCCGGTAGCTATAGCTCCATCCAGCCAAATCCAGCAGCAGCAGTTGTCAACCTCTCATAGAGTTTTAGAGATTTATGGCAAGTGTGCATTGGGTCCAAGCATGAGCACTGAATCTTCACAGCTGTTCTCTCCATGGCTGTTTTTCTCAGACAATAGGTCCAGGAACTCCCACTTTCTAAACCATCCCTTGTCTCCACCCCCTACCCACCTTCGAGCATTGTTTTTGGGTTCCACCCCCTACCCACCTTCGAGCACCAGTTTTGGGTTCCACCCCCCACCCAGTACCACCCCTTTCAGAGAATATATTAGCTAATTTGTATGAAATTTTTTAACGATAACAAGGAAAACAGTCAATCGATCCCCAGCAACAATAGATCCTCCAACAACAATAGATCCCAGAAACAGCGGCTCCCCAGCAACAGTGTACCCCCCCAGCAACAATGGACCGCCTGTAATAAAATACCCCACAGCAACAATAGACCTATGGCAGCAGCAACAGATCTCCCCACAGCCAGCATCAATAGACCCCTCCATCAACAGTAGATTCTTCCCAGCAACAGTTGACCCCAACAGCAACAACAGATACCCCACCAGCAACAAGAGGCCTCCCCAGCAAAATTAGCCCTCCCAAAAAATAGATACCTCCTGTGACAATAGTTTCCCAGCAGCCATCATCAATAGATCCTCCAGCTCACCCGAGCACCCTTTGTTGTTAGAAGTGCCAGAACTGTGTTCAACTGCGTTCCCGCTGAAAAAAAAGCCCTGGTTTTTCTCTCTCTGTAGTTGTATTTATATTTTCACCTGTTGTCTGCCTGCAGATGCTAGCAAAATTATTTCAATTTTTCTCTATCTACTGCATGCTTCCCATGTGCAGGACAATACTCGCTATCCCTGGTGTGACTGCTTCCACAATATTAACATCTGATTTTACACCTTTGTTGACTTGTGTTCTCATACTTGGCTTGCAATCCATTCTGGGCTGTGTTTTTACAGTATAATGTACAGCCTCCATCTCGGCTTTGCTGTCTTTCATTGTTTGTATTTGAAATTTGTGAGCTCATTGCTTCTGCACATCTTTTGCTTTTTGTAAGTTCAACTCAGCATTCTTTTTCTTGCATTGATATCCCCTGATCCAAGCACTATTCTTCCTCTAATGAAGTTCATCATGCAATGCTCTGGTTTTCCATATTGCAGCTAGCTGCCTTGGCTTTGTGACATATTGGTCTATAGTTCTCTGACTGACCTTGATCTATAGTAATAAAAATGTGTCTGTCATATTTATGTTTCAGGCAGGCAGAAAATGGCTCTGTAAGGCATTTCAAGTTTTTTGCACATTTTACTCCTCTTCTGATGGTGTGGGGTGCTGATAAATACACATACAGTTTCTCCACATCATTGAGCACAAGGAAATCATCCTTAATTTGTTTTTGTTTTTTGTTTAATTCAGTGGCCATCTCATAATCCTCCCATTGTGATCAAAAGGAGGGCCTGGTCTCTTGCACATTTCATAGCATTTAGAGCTGGTAGGTTTTTGCAGCCATTTTTTGTCCTTATATCTGATTAGATGCTGAGACAGTATGAAAGAAAACTTTGTTGTCACTTTTGGGCACTTTAGAGGATACATAACACTAAAGTTCTTCCCATACTTCATGATGCTCAAATTAGTGTAACATCAACAACTGTATGGAAACACATAACAAACACAGTAAGCCTGATTTGTCTGATGTACTTGTTAGTTACTGTATGTGGCTTCAGACATATTATTTACTTACGGTACTTATGTTGGAATACAATGGTCATGTATTTTTGTGCAACAACTAGTTTCTGTTTCCGGTTTGCAGAGAAGCAGCAGATAAACACATGTGGACTGTGCACGTTCTATAAATACAGAATCTCTAACAGGTTATGGGCCCAGACACCCCATCATGGCCTGCTACAGCAAAAGACGTGCAATATACAGCAACAGCAATAAGACTTCAACCATAAAGGAAAATGGCTAGTAACACAGCTGCAACAAAGCTTTCATTTGCAAATCTGACTTGCCCAGAACTACCAGTCTTATAAATTCAAGATGAAAATGCTGCTAATAACAGAAGGTATAAATGAAGTCAGGCCAGGACACCCTTCAGATGAGTGGAAAGAGAAAGACCAGAAAGCTCAGAGCACAATCTATCTTAGCATAGAAGATGATTAACCGCTTGCCTACAGGGCACTTATACCCCCTTCCTGTCCAGGCCAATTTCCAGCTCTCAGCGCTGTCACACTTTGAATGACAATTGCGCGGTCATGCAACACTGTACCCATATGAAATTTTTATCATTTTTTTGTGACAGATAGAGCTTTATTTTTGTGGTATTTAATCACCTCTGGGTTTTTTATTTTTTCTCAAACAAACCAAAAACCACTGAAAATTTTGAAAAAAAAAAAAATTTTTTTTCTTAGTTTTTGTTATAAAATTTTGCAAATAAGTGATTTTTCTCCTTCACTGATGTGCACTAATGAGGCTGCAGTGATGGGCACTAATAGACTACACTAATGGACACTGATAGGTGGCACTGATGGGCATTGACAGGCATCACTGATGGGCACTGAAAGGCAGCACTGATATATGGCACTGATAGGCGGCACTGACTGGCACTGATAGGCGGCACTGACTGGCACTGTTAGGCGGCACTGACTGGCACTGATAGGTGGCAGTGACGGGCACTGATAGGTGGCACTGATTGGCAGCACTGACTGGCATTGATAGGTGGCACTGACTGGCACTGATGGGTGACACTGAAAGGCAGCTCAGATGGGCACTGATATGTGGCATTGATGTGCACTGGTAGGCACTGATATCTGACGTTTATGTGGCACTGATGGGCACTAGCATATGGCACTGTGCAGCACTGACAGCTGGCACTGATGGACACTGACAGGTGGGGCCACACTGATCCTCAGGGCACACTGATCATCAGTGCCCTGAGGATCAGTGTACATGTCCCCTCCGCGGAATGCCGATTACCGGCTCTCCTCTCGAGCTGTCTGCGTGACAGCTCATGAGGAGAGAAATGCCGATAACCGGAATTTCCCTGTTTACATGTGATCAGCTGTGATTGGACACAGCTGATCGCATGACCGAGCCGACATCTTCAGCTCTTTCCGTAGATCGGTGATCCGCTGTGTCCAAGATACACAGCGCACCACCGATCGCCGCGCTGCGCTCCCCCTTTGAGCCGCGCATGCTCGCTGAGAATGGGAGGACGTCATATGATGTCCTCCCAGGATGAGACAACCACCTTGCCCCCGTCATTGGACTATATGGCGGGCGGGAGGTGGTTAAATCATACATATATGTAAATGTGAAACTACTAAAGAAACATGGGAAAGAATACAAAAGGTGCATGAAAGAGCTAATCTCAGCAATAAACTTTATTTGATTAGAAAGCTACCCCAAACAAAGTTGATGAAAGGCCAGGATATGCAGGATTACATAAGGCACACTCTGGAAATGGTTGAGCGCCTGAGAAGTATAGGAGAATAAATAAAAGACTTTAATGTCACAGCACTATTACTTAGTGGTTTACCAGAAAGTTATGAAACACTTGTCACAGCACTTGATGCATATCCAGATGATGAACTGACATTGGAAGGGCAAGCTTATGGATGAATCTTAAAACAGAAACCGTTAACAGTGACGGTGCCTCTGTCGCAGAGTCTGTTTTAAAGATGAAAAATAGAAATAAAACGGTAACATGCAACAAGAAACACATGAATGTTTTTTTTTTGTGCAAGAAACAAGGCCATTTAAAAGCAGATTGCAGAATCTAGAAAGCTAGAATGCAAAAACAAACCAAACTACAAAAGGCCAAAAGTGTAGGAAGAAAATGATTTTTCTTCAAATAATGAATATGTTTTTCAATCCAAATGTTGCACCTCATCAAGGAATAGGAGGTGGTTTTCTTTACTGTCTTATTTCCCCAGAGTGTCACTAGAAAGATACCTGTGAAAAATGTCCTGTATGTCCCTGCTCTTGAAACTAATCTTTTGTCAGAGAAGAAGCTCACAAAACAATGTAGTGTCCTTCCAATATGACAGTTGTACCATCCCAAAAAGGACTATCTTACTTGCAAAGGCTAAAATTACAGATGAACTATATCAGCTGAACTGCAATGAAGTGGTTAATACTGCCAAGGACAAAAAACATTTAAACTTTATTCACACGTGGCACAGATGACTTGGGCACAAAAGTCCTGACATAATAAAGAGATTAACTGAGAAGGACTATGCAAGTGGAATAAAAATTAGTCTATGTGATCAAATATTAAAATGCATCAGCTGTACAAAAGGAAAAATGACAAGAAAAGCCTTTCTGAAGCAGAGTAACAGCAGAGCTAAGAAAAAAAAAACCTATGGACTTAATAAATTCAGATCTTTGCAGTCCAATGAAAAAATTGACTCCAGGAGAGATGAGGTATTTTCTCACTTTTATAGATGATTACTTCAACTCAGGCCCGGACTAGCCATAGGGTACCCTGGGCCGCCAGGCTTAAGATGAGCGGGCCACACAGCGGTCTGGACAGGGCTATTACAGACCATGGCCACCACTCACCTTCCTTCTGCTGCTATGCCCAAAGAAGGGCCAACAGGAGGAGCAGCAGTGATGACTCCTGAAGACAAGCAGGAAGCTCCACTGACACAGGGACACCTCGTCAGCCGGCCGCTGCACTGAAGGGAGAACGGCGGCCTCTCTTTTTCACCCGCAGCTGCCGGCACACTGTGTGTCTGTAGCGGTGGTGGATGGGGCTTTCTCTGCTGGATGGGCTGTCTCTTTGTGTATGGGACCCAGTGGGGTTGGGGTTTGGGAGCAGGATATCCCTGATCACTAGTTTGTAGTGCTGTGCTGGAGGAGAGAGAGCTCTCTATAGGGCTGAACTGCCAAAGTGGTCAGCGAGGACACATTTGGGACAGATGGAAAAACCTTGCCACCCCAACCTTCATCTAGTAGGTCCTGTGGTTTGGGACAATCTCAGAACCTAAAGAGAGCAACCCATGTGTGTAGATGGAACACACAAATGTGAACCACCTACAGTATGTAAGAGACTGTAACATCTGGAAAGATGGCTGCAAAGGTACATTGGGACTGTAAAGAGTGTTCTGTAAGAGACCACTGGTGAAAAAACATGTAATGGAGATATAGTGTTCTGCATTGGAGACATCTGTCGGGATTACCAACTGCTGTTATGCAAAGAAGATGTATTAGTAAATATGTCTGAGTTGTGCAGTAAAGCATTAAAAAGCAACTGAACCGGACATTCCTTTATTCCAGGTAACCGGCGTCTGGCAGAGAATATGTGAGTAAATGGGCTTCATATTGTGTGTGACACAATATGGCAGAGAATCTCCAAAACGACAGGTAGGTGACTATCTGATCCATGAAGAAGTAGGGCAGGACCTGAGCTAACATAATGCAACCCTCTGCCCAATAAAGGTCCCTTACAAGCAGATGATTGGTTGAGAAAAAGTACTTTCCCAGTTCTCTACACCTAAGCGAACATTTAACCCTTGAAGTTTTGGCAGCCAAGGTGTGGGCCTAGAGTAAAGCTTGCGCTAGCATCAGAGCTTGCGGCTCCTCCGAAAAGGAGGTGGATCCCTTTTCAGAGATGTTTCACAAGAAATATGATGTGTCCTCACCACCTGTTTTAACCTTCAAAATGCTGTCCCACTGTGCTGCAACAAGCAGTTACAGGGCAAGTGTGGCACCAGTCACTTGAATAAATTTTGCTTAGCAGTAGTATTGCTACTGAACACAATTGGGGGATCATTTTTGTCATGATCGACTGCCCTTTGAGCTTAAGGGAGGGCAGTTGGGTTGGTAAAAATGCAGCTCATCTGCATGCTTTTACTGTCCCCCAACCACAAGTGTATACAAGCCCTAAGTGTGCCCAGTTAAGATGGGCAGATGCTGGTTGACACAAAGCACACAATCCAAGAGCACAGTACTGCCCTCTTCCATTGGGAAGTGAGTGATGTGAAGGTGGTACCTTACAGACCCTCTTAAATGCCAATAATTCGATGCTACCCTTGGGCTCAACCTTACGTTTCCACACCTTCCACCAACACGACATTTCTCTGAGTTATCTCTGTCTATTCGTGGCTGCAGTATTTATTCCTCATTTTCTTAGAGGTGGGAAAGATTGAAACAGTTTATAGTAAATGGTCTAGAGCAATTTCAGGCATGTGTGAGCCGATGACTAATCCCCATTCCTCTTGTAAGTGAGCTCATTTAGTGAAAGTATCTCACACTTTGCTCATACAACGGCAGGATTTTACATGTGAAAGTGAAGACCCGTTCACCCACAGCTGCCAAAATAGACAAAAACCAGGGGGATTTTAATATCCGAGTAACCTCATTTGTGAATAGCCCAGGTGTGGCGTTGTTTATCTTGGAAGCTATGGCTTGCACATTCAACTTCATAAATCCTAGAAAAGCTGTAAGTGCAAGCATGGGTTAAGTGACTTGGAGAATATTGAAAGTAAACCTAACCCTCCTACAAAAAACACACAGGAAAGGAATTTCACTGGCAGGTATTTCAATGTGGTAATCTATAGTAAATAGAAGAAAAATGTCCTATTGGGAAAACCAAGGTGATGACTGACCTGCCAAAACAGTATCTAAGGCAACAACAATACTGAAATACAGGGACCTTATGATGTCTACAAGTACCTGTGCTATTCTTCAAACCTCTATAGAGACCCCTAGGATCCTAGGCCGTATATGATCTCTTGAATTTACTCTGAAAAATATGCAGAGGTATTTAGTATGTGATGGCCATTCTTCCTTCTTGGCATTTAACAACCCAGCAGGTTTGAACCAGGAAAAAAACTAGGATTCAGCTCCCATTCATTCTATACATAGGAGTAATTCATAGTGACATATGGAACAGTGCAATGTGGTGCAATGTAATTTGAATGACACCCCAATGCACCTTCACAGTGTACCTCAAGGGACATGTGCTTATTAGAATAGTTTTTCACATTTTAGAATGGGGTGCCCTTTTAAAATTATGGACAGTCTTAAGGCATCGCATTTTAGAATGGGGTGCCTCAAGACTGTGCATACTTAAAGGGTGCCTCGGGACTGTCCAAATTTTTGAAGGGTGCCTTGACTGAAAAAAGTTGAGAAACACTGCTATACAGTATATAGTAAAACTATTGTGTTCTATGTGCCCTACTCACACCCCAATGCTGGTGTGATGTGTAGTGCAGTGTGAAAATGCAGCACGTATACATCTTGCTGCAGTGCACTAGTTGGCAGCGCATGTCTAGGGGCGGACTGACAACACATGGGGCCCCCGGGCAATAGGGGATCATGGGGCCCCTGTGTCCTTGCCCAAACTCAAAAAAGCCTATGAAAAAGGTACCAGGTGCATCTCATGGGGCCCCTTACTGACCCCGGGCCCTCGGGCAGTGCCCGAGTTTCCAAATGGTCAGTCCACCCCTGCGCATGTCACTGTACTGTAGCACACAGCACTGCTCTGTGCCAAGCCATGAATGCAATGTCACTAAGTGACACTTTAATTTAAAAAAAAAAGAAAACAATTATCAATGTGATACAGGAGTTCATGCTGACAGCTGCCCATATGGTAAAATGCTGCATTTTACAGTGTAGACTAGTGTGAACCAGGCCTTACAATATTCTTTGCAGTGTGTGGGCAGCCTCTTTAAAATGAATGGGCTGCTTTTTCACATTGCATGCTAATATATAAAATGACACATGATTATGCTCTGAAATGGATTGGCTCAATCTGAATGGGCCCTTAAAGCAGAGCTCCACCCAAAAAGGGGAAGTTCCGCTTTAAGCCTTTGTCCCCTGCTCCCTATTAAGGATTGGCACCTTTTGGGAGCGTGAGGGAGCTGGTACCCGAATTTGACAGGTACCCGCTCCCACATCTGCTGCAACTGCCTAAGGCGATCGGAAGCGGAAGCGTCCTCCCCCCTCCCTCCCCGTAATCTTCTGGGACACGTGACAGGTACCATAAGACTACAGGGCCATTCACAAAGTGCATGCGCAGTGAGCACCTGGCTTTGAAGCCCTCACCCCATCAAAAATGAAAAAAAAACTGCTTTGCCTCTAGGTCTACTTTAAATTGTATATAAACCCCAAATTTTATTTTTTGTCTGTTTGGCAGCATGCGTTATTGTATAGAGTTTTATGAAGCTATTTTTTTTTTTAATCTGTTGCATGCTGACATTGTTAAGCCACTGCCTCCCAATAAGCAGCAATGTTGTCTATCTTATGTGCTAATTTGACTGTTGGGGGGCCTATCAAGCCCATATCCAATTGGAGAAATGCACACAGCAGGCTGACAACACTGCTGCTTATTGTGAAGCAGTGGCTTAGCGTTGTCAGCCTCCAAAAGGAAATACTATTACTGGCAGGTTCTCCAGGCAGGTAATTTCACAGCAGATTCATAAAAAAAAATTCCTGAAAAAACTGTATACAGTGAGGCATGATGCCAACTATAGAAAAAAATAGATTTGGGCTTTACATACACTTAATGACAGTCTCAGTGTTCCTCTTTTGACAATCTTTTCATGAGAATCTGGCAGATATAAAAGTGAAATGCACAAACACCAAATGAAGAACATTAAAAGCACTAGTACACTTATAATATTCATGCCCTAAGTGGGCATTAAAACATAGAATGTAAGGCCATTTGTTCTGGGTATTTATAGAAAATCTATAGTATAAGAATTATACAGATGTACAATAAATGTACATAAAAATAGAACACTGGCAATAATCACTATTTCCTGACAGCTGGGGGATCTAAAATTAGGTTTTGTTCTATCTTCGATTCCTAGTAGACAAATGTGCATATTAGAAAACCGCAGCGCTACAGATCCCCCGAGAGGCTGGCCCCGCACTCCATGGTCTGCTGTGAAAAGTTTTTAGAAAGGCACGGCACCGTTCCTGCGGCTCACTGCCTCAGAAATTCTATTCTTTGGGTATTTTAGTTTCTGCTTTGTAAAGCCGCCTTTATAGCCTCAACCTGCCTATTCATACAGTTCCAAAAAGACTAAAAAGGTTGCTGGTAACTTTGTGGTTCAAATAATGATGCCTTCAGGAGCCAGCGCTGAGTGATTATATTCCAACGTACACATTTTTTTTGTACAATTTACTGGGTGTGAACTATTTATGTAACATGATTTATGTTATGTAATTATTCAGATCAGGAAGAAAAATGTGTTCATTTGCTGTTATTTATGTAGATGAAAGCATTACATGCACAATATAATGAGCTTACTAGGAAACATTACAACATTTAGGGGAACTTTCGCAGCATGCAAAGTTTTGATAACATTATGTTGTTTCACCAATGGAAAGAGTGGATATATATTTCAGAAATAGTAAATCCCTAGATTCAACTGGCACCAAGGCTTCCTTTAATCTGATACTAATTCTTTAGAAAAAGGCATTGGAATTTGGATGCATTTAAAATAAATTTAAACCAAATCACTAAGATGTTACATAGGCTTAACATGTCAACCTCTTCCAGCCCTCACTCCCCTATACTAACTTAGCTGAACAAGATGCCACATGCTGACGATGGATCAATAATGTCCCATGCAGAACTAGTGGCTGGCATGTCAAGTTAACCAACACTATTGGACATGGCAAAACTTGGGCTAGGCACCAGGGTATCAACTACAGTTCACAAAAAGGTTAATGTAATTTCAAAAGCGCAATCTGTTGTTTTTTATTAATATGTAACTTTTATCATAGTAATATAGTAATACAAAAATGCTTAACAATACCAATAAAAAAAATCTAAACAATGACCATGAAGGTCATTGTTTAGGCAATTCCTGTTATGGGGTAAAACTGTCTGCCAATTATTATTCTTTGTTGTCTCTTATTTACATGCACCCCACATGGAGACCGTGGCCACAAATATCATGCATGTATGACATTATCAGGAAGATTCTGGAGTGAGGGCAGGTAGACCGGAAACAGCTGACAATTATGAAATGGACAAGCAGGACTGAGACCCAAAAAGGATAAAAAATTTGAAAACAGCATTTTATGGAAAACAATTTAAAAATCGTCTATGATAATCGCTCTGCAAACTAAATGTAATCTATTTACAGTTTAGTTGTAAAAAAAATAAGCTCTTAGCAACACATTGGGATTTGTCTTTCATTAGTATGACTTCAGCAAACTGAAATCTGAGTGGCTGTTATGAATTATTGCTGTTTGTATATCATTGTTGCTCTTAGTGATGTACAGGTAAGTGCAAGGGTCAGGAGTCAGGAGCACATGGAAGGGCAATGCAAATCTAAAACAAACAAAAATTCCCAGCTCACTTACCAGCCAGCCTGCACCAAAACCAAATTGACACTGTCGAACAGTTCACATTAAAAACAAAGGGTTTAGTTGCAAAAATGTGTATATGAGTCTTAGACAAATATATGTGTACGTTTCAGTGGCCATGTCAAGGCACCCCAGTGTACTGCAGTCCTAACTCTATAATTTTGAGAGTCTCCCAAATTGGAACACACATAGCAGTGGATAGATTTAGAGCAGGTGTACCTAGAGGGAGCTGACCTGTCCTTAACCACTTCCAGTGCAGACACATTTACCCCCTTCCTGACCAGGGCAATTTTCAGCTTTCAGCGCTATCACACTTTGAATGACAATTGCGTGGTTATGCAACACTGTATCTTTATTTTGGTGGTATTTATTTACCGCTAGGATTTTTATTTTTTTTTGCTATGTAAATGAAAATGTCCAAAAATTTGAAAAAAAGTGTTTTTCTTATAAAAATTTTGCAAATAAATAATATTTCATCATAAATCTTGGCCAAAATTTATTCTGTTATCTTTTTAGTAAAAAAACAAAATAAGCCAAATTAGTTTATAACTAAAAATTATAATTTTTAAACATTTTTTTTACATTTTTATTTTTTTTTTAATATTATTATTATTATTTTTTTTTTTTTTACATACTGTCACCCTAGCAGTACAGTGTCATCATGGTGACACTGTACTACTTTTTGTTTTTACACTGATTGCTTTTACACCCATAAAGGCTGTAAAAGCAATCATTTCTCCTCTCTGTCTGCATTCTTGCAGCCATTGAGAACTACTGAATGAGCTGTGATTGGTCACAGCTTGTCACATGGTACAAGGCTGTTGTAAATAGCCTTGTACCATGTGACCTCTGTGATCATTCACAGATTTTCACACGTAGTAAGCAATGATGTCACAACTGACATCTTGCTTACTACTTTGCATGTGATCACTGATTGGCCAATCAGTGATCACATGATTGGGACCTCGTACAGAGGTCCTGTCCGACAATCGGTGTTTCACTGTGTCCGGAGGACACAGCGGGCACCGGATCGCGGTGCTGTGCACTCCTGGGGAGCACGCACAAGCAGGGTGCGGGGAGGCCGTTTATAAATGGCCACCCGACCCTGCAGTGCCACCGTCCGGCCGTTTATAAACAACGGCTGGTCAGGAAGTGGTTAAAAGTATATGGGCGCATAGGACACCTAGCAAGAGCACAATGGCAGCTGAATCATATAAAAAACAAACAAAAATTCTTGCTGGGTGTCCCGTGAGTCCCTATACTTTTAAGGAGGGGTGGGCTCCATCCAGGCCCAGTATCCACTTCCATATATGCTCCAGTTTTGGAGACTCTCAGACCTATAAAGTTAGGACTGCAGTACACTGGGGGTGCCTTGATGTGGCCACTACAGCTTACACATATATCTGCAAATGTATGTGACTAAATCATTTGTTTTAACATGAACTGTTAGGGGTAATTCGGTTTTGTTGCAGGCTGGCTGGCAAGTGAGCTGGGAATGTTTGTTTGTTTGTTCGTTTGTTTTCAGTGTGCATTGCCCTTCCAAGTGCTCCTTGCTGCAAAGGCTAGTTATAAGTTGGGATGGTTGCCATGTTTGTATAGTTGGTGAATTAGTGCCATTGTGCCCTTGCTTGGTGTCCTATTCATCCCTGTACATTTAAGGATACGCGGGCTTCTTCCAGTCACACCTGCCCTTAATCTATCCACTGCTATATGTGCTCCAGCTTGGGAGACTCCCAAAATTATAGAATTAGGACTGCAGTACACTGGGGTTCATTAATGTGGCCACTGCAGCTTACACATATATTTGCAAAGGTGAGCCATTGAATCCCTAGTTTTTAACTGAACTGTTATACAGGGTCAATTTTGTTGCAGGCTGGCTGGTAAGTGAGCAGGGAATTTTTGTTTATTTTTGCCAGACATTAGTAAGATTTCATTTTAAAAAATCTATGTTTGTTTAATTTTCTAATCATTAGTGGGCCAAATCAATATTTATTTTCAACTGCAGAGGCAAGAAAATTTGAAGGAACAGGATGGAAAAATTTTCTTGAATGTACACATTTTTGAACAGCGTAAGTGGTCTGTTATTCTGAAAGTCCTTTCACTTCAAAACTGAATGTTAAAAGCAAACATAATTTGCTTTCGAATGACATTTGTCAAGTTATCAGATTTTTCGTACAAATTTAAACTATGTTCAATTAATACTAAGGGGCCCAAAGTGTGCCAAGAAAATATTCGCCACACCAGCCTGAACTGTTGATACAAGGCAGGATGGATCCATGCTTTCATGTTGCTTAAAATCAAAACTCATCAGACCAGGCAACATTTTTCCAATCTTCTATTGTCCAATTTTGGTGAGCCTGTGCGAATTGTAGCCTCCGTTTCCTGTTCTTTGCTTACAGGAGTGGCATCTGATGTGGTCTTCTGCTGCTGGGGCCCATCTGCTTCAAGGTTTGACGTGTTGTGCATTCAGAGATGGTATTCTGCATACCCTGGTTGTAACAAGTGGTTATTTGAGTTACTGTTGCCTTTCTATCATCTCAAACCGGTCTGCCCATTCTCCTCTGACCTCTGACATCAACAAAGCATTTTCGTCAATACAATTGCCACTCACTGGATATTTTCTCTTTTTCAGACCATTCTCTGTATACCCTAGAGATGGTTGTGCATGAAAATCCCAGTAGATCAGCAGTTTTTGAAATACTCAGACCAGCTCATCTGGCACCAACAACCATGCCACATTCAAAGTCACTTAAATCCCTTTTCTTCCACATTATGATGCTCAGTTTGAACTTTAGCAAGTCGTCTTCACCTTGTCTAGATTCCTAAATGCATTAAGTTGCTGCCATGTGATTGGCTGATTAGCAATTTGTGTTATCAAGCAATTGACCAGGTGCCCCTAATAAAGAGGCCGGTGAGTGTATATACACGTCACTGTAGAATTTCACTTTCTGTGTTACAAAGAATACTGCTACATAATATTGCTTATATGCATGTAGAAATGATGAATGCTGCTGGAATTATACAGTCCACTTGTTCTTTTATGTCAAAGAAAGGATTTGATCCAACTCTTTGTAGTCAGATCGGGTGAAAGTCTAATGTCTGCAGTAGTCTCTGACCCTGATGGCTGCTGTTCTGTAAAATAGTTTATCAGGCAACTATTCCGATCCAAAAGTGGCTGAGACTCATTCAGTGATATTATGTTGAGCCAAAGATTAGACCTAGTGAGCTAGCCAAAATTAAAAAAAGTCTTCTTATGCATAAATATGAACAAAATTGATTAGATAAATGTAAAAATGGGCCAGCCGGTCACGCCTTGAATCTTTGCTCCCTAAGACTTTTTTACATTTTCACAAATACAGACTTAGTAACAGTTTGACTGTATGAGTATGTTTGGTTTTACCCCTTGTGAGAAGGAATAGGAATTAAAAATGAAAATCACATTTAATTAGGAGCATGTCTTGGCAGTGATTACCTTGAGAGTACAAGAATGTAACCACCAGCTGTTTAGTCGTACAAGTGTATGTATTGGGTATGCCTTCCACAGTGAATTGGGGGTGGGTAACGAGGGAAGTAGAACAGAAGCATGTAAGTCTTCACTTTACTATAAATACTTGTAGTAATTTATTGGTATGTCTCAGAAGGCAGGTATTTTCTCAATTAAAATCTGGAATGCTACTAGAAAATAATCCATTGTAGCTTGTTTATAAATCATCCATCATTTTCAGTTTCAACCTGCATCATCATGGGAGCTGAAAGTGTAGATAGATATACCTAAAAAGTTTCATAGTTCGTTTTTTTCACGAAATCAGTGCAAGTATGGGAAACAAGATGATTATGAAGAGCCCTAGAGGGATCCATAAATGTTATTTATTATTTTTCATAGCTTCAGGAAAAATGGATATTGTGCACCTGGGCAGGCTCCAACTTGGATTTAAACGTTTATTTCGATCCCAGTAGAAACATGTTTTAGGCAACCTTAGCCTATTAACATTGAAATCTCTTTCCCCACCCCAGATCTGATCTGCTTAGCGTTCTTGCTAATCCTCTGAGACAGTTTGCTTGAACTCTGTGAATGAAAATGAAAAAAAGACCAAGTTTATTTTTTCAAGAGTCATCAGTAAAGTACAACTTTGCTCAGAAATGCACCCCTGATGGGACAGGAAAAAACAGGCAATTATTTTTAGCATTTTCTCACCAGAAGAAGGAATCTCCATGATCCATCTGTTGTATGGAGTCTTTCAGAATAAAAGTACATATGTATTTTATATCATTGCTAAGATTGGTTTAAAATATAATCTGATTATAGTGGAGTTGTGTAAGGAGCAAAGATGTCTCCCTGATCAAAGGCCACTTAAGCCACTCAAGTAAGCAGGGTGGAAAGGCCACATGTATGATGATCGTGTTTGTCCACATTAAAAGTATGGACAACATCCGTTGTGCCCTGGATAGTCCAGGATAGTCCAGGCCAAATATTTGGATTGGTCAGACATTGTTGTACATGTGTGAACAAGTCTTTAGCTCATCTTTCAGAACATAACCCACAGTTGGGTTATTTGTTATGACTTGGGGTCAGGGGCGGACTGACAACTCATGGGGCCCCCGGCAAATAGGGGATCATGGGGCCCCTGTGTCCTCCTCCACACCCAAAAAAGCCTATGAAAAAGCCAATGAAAGGTACCAGGGGCATCTCATGGGGCCCCCTACTGACCCTGGGCCCTCGGACAGTGCCCAAGTGCTCCAATGGTCAGTCCGCCCCTGCTTGGGGTCCTTTTACACCAGGTGCAGTTAGATGCATTTTTGACTGCACTCCAACTGCATAGAAAGTCCAAAATCCAGGCTATCCCATGGGCATAGTTCACACCATTGCAGTGCAGTGCAGTACAGTACAGTAAAAACAAAGTAGAGCACGCTAAAGGTAAATGGCTCCTAAAAATTATGAAGGCTCTTTTGAATTGTACTGGACCTATTCTTGTAAAAAAAAACATCCTCATTAGCCTCTTTTTTTAGGTTTTCTCGCAGAATTGTAGTGCTACCCCCATAAGGGCAGTTCTTCCCCAATGAGTAGATGAGCTGCCTGTCCATACAAGCAATAGTCCATTTATGCTGGCTCCAATAAACAGTCTAGGGGATGTCTTTTTAAAATGTATTGTTTAAAGAACTCCAACAGGGAAAAGGAATCTTGGGCTTGGGGTATTTCAAAATGCTCCGTTGTTAGTAATTAGAGGACAGTCTCTTGTAGTAGTAGTAATAGTAGTTAGTGGTGCACAGTCCAAGGCACCACAGCTGAAGCCCATGGAACAAGTCTTTTGGCATCTGGGCACTTATGCACAAGTTCTGGTACCCAGTGCAGATTCAAACACATGGTCGTTCAAGTGTCTCAGACTATTTATCCCATTTCAGCCCCCTTTTGGACACTTCCTCTCCAGAGATTGGCTGGTACCAAATAAATATTCAGACTGGTTGATTTGAATCTGTTGCCCTAAGCTTCTTTCAGAGGCATGGGGAAACAATCAAACTCCCAGCCTGTGAGATCCTGAATAGGCCAGAACAAAAAATGATTGCCCCTATGACTACAGAAGGAGCCAAAGCTAAGTTTGTCTTGCAGCCTACGCTAGGAGGGTGCAACATAATCAAAAACAGACAATGACAAAAAATCTGAAAATTTACAATGAGACACATTTCAACCAAAGACACACAAAAACATACAGACACACAAATCACCAAATTAAATTAATGTAATTCCCCCTCTCAAAAAAGGAAAAAATATCTAAATAAAGTAGGTTTTTGTTTGTTTTTTCAAAGCAAATTTTGCAAAGCAGCTCAAGGAATGAATATGATCAGCCTTTGTGAAATTTATCCAACAGCAA